CAGATGTTCGAACGACTGGGGAACAACAGTGTTCAGACGACGGAGAACAACGGATGTTCAGACGACTAAAAGAACACCGACGCCAGTCAAAATTCTTATCTACTCTTCCCTTGCTTCTCTTAACCATACGTTTATGATTCCTCCTTTCTCCCTCCGTCTTTCTCGACAGCATAAACATATTCGTTCGCAAACCTATTTATTTTCGATTTCTCCGGTCTTTTTTCCTATCCTAGCGTCTATTCTTGCAAAACCCTAATTGAAACGCTCTAGGTAATCTTTTCTTTTGTTCTTTTCATTCTACTTAAAAAAAATTGTTGTGGTTGACGAAATAGTTCTTCTTTGATGCTTATTTGGTTATTTTAGTTGTCTGTCTCTAGGGTTTTGATTTACTATTACATTATATTGACTGAAAATAGAATGTTCTTCTATTTGCTTGCTTTTTGAGTTTTGTGTTTTCATCTCTTGTATCACATAAATGAAATCTCAATTAGTTTAATATGCAAGTGATTTTCTTTTCTGCCGCTTACTATAGTAAAATTAGTAGGGACTTTCCGATTTGACAAAAACGAGAGATTATGATGAGCAATTGAGGAAGGAGGAATTGAGGATTAAGTGTCTGTCAGAAGTCGTATGGTGCTTCACGGCAGGTAATTTCACGTGGTGTTGGTTTTCATTTTATTTCTTGGCTATACTGCCAAGCATCAAAGTGGTTGCAAAAAAAATCATAGAAGAATACTTAAAACATTTATGTCTGTAAAACATTAGCAAATCTTGTTTTTGATTCACAATATACACTGGGTCTCACAATATAGTTTTCTGCTCTATATTATAGAAATTTGGGTTCTAAGGAGAATTGAAACCTGTGTGTTTTCTGTACATGCTGATTTTACATTTTGTTAATGAGGGAATTAATTTATAAGTAACAGTGGGGTGATTCAGTGTAAACTACAAATGGAAAAGTAGGGTAAGAATTTTTAAGTAGCAGGAGGTGTCTCTTCAAAGGCAAGTGATGAGTATTTGCGTATGATATAGTAGATCCCGCATGTGAAATTTGTATGTCTTTAAGCCAATCCTTGTGGATGCTAACAATGGATTTTCCCTTTGGCCATATGTATTTGTGAGGTGAGAATAAAGAGTCTTGGTTTTTTTCCTTACTTATTGCATGATTTCTTGAATGAGATCCTGTCACATTTATGATGGACAGACAAAAAGGTATTTTAAGTGGGTTAGAAGTTCATTGGCCAAATGCAAGGAGTAGGCATATGTATGCTAATTTAGAAGAAAAAAAAAAACCAGGGATACGCTTCAAAAAATTATTTGGGCAGTGAGTAGAACTAAAATATGGTAGATTTTGCTGAGACCATGGTTAGGTTAAGGATGTTGCTGAGATCCAACTGAAAACTAAATAATAAAGGTTTCTACTTTATTGTAGTTTTGCAATGTCACGGGAATAACAAGAGACTTTGCAAAGATAATCTAGCTACTGTTGATAAAAAGAAAAAACAAGGTATTATTAATTTGTTCATCTTATCAATTTAATTTTTCTGATTATCTATTTATATTGTTTCCCATTTTTTTTTTGTAGAAACATTTGTACCAACAAGACTGCAATATATTCAAGAGCTAGTTTTGCAGCTTCTTCTACATGCTCGTCTTCAAGTCAAAAATGTTCAACAACCTCAACACAGTGGACTATTCCATAATGATTCAATGTCTTCTTCAATTCAGAGGTCATGCTTATCACAGCTTAAGTTCAAGAGGTATTCATTACTATTCTAAACAGTCTAATGTTCATGTCAATTCATTATTTGCTTCCCTAATTTATTCTTCATCCTATTAATAGGTCAAGCTAATCAGTAATGCCAAGGGTTTATTTTTGTTATTTATTTTTTTTTTGGTGCAGTTGATTGTTTTTTGTGTGCAAAGTATGAGGGAAAATGATAGTTTTGATGTGCTGATAGTTTTTTTGGTTGGATTTTGTGTACAAACCGTTTGGGTGAATAGCACATATACTGGGATTGTTTTTGCTTTTGTATAGGGTATAGACAACTGCTACATAGCTGTTCTTTTTGTTATCTACAACCATACCATGACTTCTTTTCAGATTTGGGTTTATTGTTAAAATGAAAGACTTTGTTCTAAATGTAATTATCAATGAATGGTGGTCTTTTTTTATATTGAGATGTTGTTGTTTTCTTGAAGTTATTTACTTATTGTTTTTTCCTTTTGTTAAAATGAAACACTTTGTTATTTATTTTAAAAATACATGCTGCCCATCATGCTACTTCCTTGGTGAGGAATGTATTGCAAGTTCTGGACTCAATGGTGCTATACCGTTATCATTTGCAAGGCTAGGAAACATGGAGACATTATAAGATTTACATAATTACAGTATAGTATTAACTAGGTTGTAATCAAATTTTATTGAAACTTTCAGATAGGCATCAGACTTCAAGGATATCAGCTTCTTCCTTGAGATATTATGGCCTGGGGCTTGAGAATGTCATTCAAGGATTAAATTTATAAAGTGTCCTTCCACATAGTTGAATCCCAGATTGTTGATTGCACTTCTTCTTTACAGATTCCATTTCTAGCAGTAGTAAGAAAAGTCCAAATGGTCCAATTGTGGGAATTGTTTTGGGTGGTTTTGCATGTTTTATATTTGTTTTGAGAACAATGAAGAGTTGTGACCGAAGAATTTTGCTATGTGCTTCTGCTTTCTTTGTATCTTTTGAATGTTAACACCTTATACTATATTGAATTTCCTATTTTTATTGGGTTCGAATTGACAAAATTTCTTAAATGTAGATGCATCGTTATTTTACAATCTGGATTCCTATTTAACGATGCTAGTAAATGCTAATATTCAGTTTAGGGTTGAAGGACATCACTTAGTTTAGGTCTAAAGATGATGTTCAAATTTCCTGTGCGAAGGGAGTGGGGTTTTAAAGGTTCAAATTTTAAAAATCTCAACGGTAACTTCATTGTTTTAAAAAGTTATTTTAATGAAAAAATAAAGGGACAAATTGGTAATTTACATTCTTATATATAGTTGAGAGCATATCAATAATTTCATGTTTAAAGAGTGAGTATATATGTAATTGACTTTGTTGACATGACATAAAATCAATAAAAAAAATTATTAAGTTAAATAGTAAATGATATTTGCTGTCTTTATAGTGATTATACTATGTCAATTCACAAATATTACTAATAAGATCTTAACGATAGATAAAAAATTGCTTTTCTAAAACTTTTTGGGTGGAAAAAGATAATTACGCCAAACATTGGTTGGGAAGTTGTTACCTTACAATTTGAAATTTTCCCCCTTTTTTTTTTTTTTTTAATAATATCGTTCTATTTCAAGAATGCCATATTTATTTATTTATTGGTATTATGGATTCTGCTTGCTAACTAAGAAAGAAATTTATGCATGGTGAAAGAGGAAAGAGAAAACAAGAGAGAAAGCTAACATTTTGATTTACTTGTGTTTGTGCATGTTAGGATCTGCATGATGAGTCCATTAATTAAATTCAGTTCTGAGTATGGAATAACTTGATCAGGCTTATATACTAATGTCGTCATTTCTTAGAAGCTCAATTTTTTAGAATTAATGGTTACTTAACAGTCAAAACTTGTCTTTTCATTTTCATAATAATTAAGTTGTTAATTATGAAGAAAGTCCACTGCAATCAATATAAGAAAGACATCACTACATTGATGTGTAACCTCTAACTGCAAACTAACTTGTTCTATGGCCTCTTGGCATTCAGAATTTTCTAAGTTAAAAATATTCAGAATTTATACTCAATTTGTGGCTGTTAATGAATGTATTTTCAGCTTCATGTTTAATCATGTTGGTAGGAATGCTTGATCTTTAGCATGTCTTTTATTCAGGTATATATGCATGGTAGAATTAATTTTTTCCTGTTAGAAATAGTATACACCCATTGATTTGTCCTTGATGTGTGTGCTTCTGGAGCTGTTACATTGTTATTATGGAACATGCAGGAACTCCAGACATGTCTGCAATGCATCATGATCAGATTTGAGAGTGGTTGGGAAAAAATTAAAGGATATATTAGAGGTATTATACCTTGTCAATAATGTTGGACGAAAGCTCAGGAAACTTATTTTTCTAGCGTATTGGTTTTTTTTTTTTTTTTTGCATATTTCTCTTCTCTGGAAAACTTTTTTGTTTGGATCAGATAAATAAGCCAAGAACTTAAAAACTTTCGGTTTCAAGTGAAAGCTTCCCATATCTGTTTTTATTGTTTTATTTTTATGTAAGAAAAATATTGCTTTAAACAAGATAACCAAGAATGATAATGAATTTTTTTTTTTTTTTTCCGAAATTATTTTTAAATAAAAAACACCAAAATACAATATAGTACGTGATCAATACAAAGAAGATGTTAAAAGTCTTTAATATTATCATGGAATAGTGGCTAAAATAAGGCCATGAAGTATATCGAACAGTATTATTAATTATTAGTATCATTGTCTCCGTGAATGAGATGCAAAAGAAAGGGATATGCAACCCAACCTTTCTATTTCCAATATTTACAATTAATGAATTGGAAAAAAGGCTTCTTTGTTTGGTAATTGCTTTGAAATATTGAAATGAATCTCACCAAGATCATTAATTTAGTTTTGAGTGACGATTGTAGGGTTTCATGTCTTAAGATAACTTTAATTGTTTTATATAATTAATCTCACTTAAATTTTTTACATAAAAAATTTTAAAAATTATTAAATTCACTTAAATTTGTAAATATGTGGACATTTGTATTTTTAAAAATCCAGACTTCAGTTAGCTATACTGCTATAGTTTATGTCTATATATATATTGTTAAATTGATACAAGTAGACAGTTAGGTTGGTTCTCTTGCTTATAAATAGTCTTAAATTCTTTCAATCCTTCTGTATCTTATCAATAAAAAACATTTCCATCTCTCTTCTCTTCAAACTACAATACTTGCCCTAATATTTTAGCCATCATGCTTCTTCCAATCACAATTCTCTATGTTCTCATCTTCCTTCTCTCAACCCTAATTCTCAAAACCCTCTTCTCATTCTCTTCCAAACACTACAAGCTCCCTCCAAGCCCTTTCGCCTTGCCGGTCGTCGGCCATCTCCATCTCCTCAGCCCCTTCATGCACCACTCCTTTCACATGCTTTCCTCCCGCTATGGCCCCCTCATTCACCTCCGAATCGGCTCTGTCAATTGCGTCGTCGCTTCATCTCCCGAAATCGCTAAAGAACTACTGAAAACAAACGAACTCACTTTCTCCGCCCGCAAACACACCGCAGCCATTGATCACCTTACTTACAATTCCTCCTTCGCTTTTGCTCCCTACGGACCTTACTGGAAATTCATCAAGAAAATCAGCACGGTTGAGCTCCTCGGAGCAAGAACTCTCGGCCAGTTTCTTCCCATTAGAAGCCAGGAGTTGCAGGATTTCGTCAAGCTTTTGCTTGAAAAGTCTCATGCGGGAGAAAGAGTTAACGTTACAGAAGAGTTGTTGAAGTTGACGAATAATGTGATATCGCAAATGATGTTTAGCATCAAATGTTCGGGGACGGATGGCCAAGCCGAGGAGGCGAGGACACTTGTTCGGGAAGTGACAGAGATTTTCGGAGAGTTTAATATTTCTGATATAATTTGGTTCTTTAAGAATGTGGATTTGCAGGGATTTAGAAGGAGGTTTATGGATATTCATAAGAGATATGATTCGTTGCTTGAGAAGATTATATCGAACCGCGAAATGGTGAGGAAAGAGAAGAAGAAAAATGGAAGGAGAATAAATGGAGATGTTGATGATGATGAAGAGGTTAGAGATTTTCTTGACATTTTGCTTGATGCTTTGGAAAATGAGAAGTCGGAAATACAGTTGACAAGAGATCATATCAAGGCCACAATTCTGGTAAGCCAGTTTTCAGTATTCTCTCTTTATGTGAATTTTTATCGTTATAAACATAGATGTACATACATGCATCCCGTGACTGAATGGTTGGACTGACGAGATCTTAAATAAATAATATAACCATAATAAAAAGAATAAATCTTTGACCTTATATAAATTAAAATATGCGTATGTCGCAGCATCTCATTTTAAGTCAAAGAGGTACGTACCGAATTCTTCTTGTTAAAGCTAAATTTTCTTTCTTTCTTTTTCAATTCAATTTTCAAACTTAAGCAAGATAACCCATTAAATCTAGATACTTAGAAAGATAGATAGATTAATAATGGCAGTTAGGTTATTGATAATGATGTATCGAATCTAATGAATTAACAATACTTCTTTCTTCTTAATCATCCATTCATAAGATCAATCTGAATTAAATACAATGGTTGAATTCATGTATTAGTGGCACTTTCGGTTCATCTAACATTGTACAGATGTGTCTTCAATGAATACCATCCATTAATAATCTGTAGCCTTTTGAATGTGTATCCATATGCATGACCACATATATATATTTCTCTGTTCTCACTTCAACTTAATTTTAATGTCTCAATCATATCCTTATTGATTTTCAAGAAATCACTCAGTATATAGCCATCCATCCGATCACATGACAGACATTATCTTATCCAAGACTTTTTATTAAGTGTAACTAAAAACCGGCAGTGACTATAATACAGTCATGTAAAAGTATATATCTTACAGTTTAAAGTTTTTTATTTATGAGTTTCACGTTAATGTATTTTTCCAGGATTTTCTGACAGCTGCAACAGACACAACTGCCATGGCAGCCGAATGGGCATTGGCAGAGCTCATCAACAATCCAAACGTTCTCGAAAAGGCTCAGGAAGAAATTGACCAAGTCGTCGGAAAATCCAGGCTCGTCCAGGAATCCGACCTTCCGAATCTCCCATATCTCCAAGCCATTATAAAAGAAAACTTCAGGCTCCACCCCCCAATCCCAATGCTCGCCAGGAAATCCATCGAAGATTGCCAAATCGGCAAGTATACGATTCCTGAAGGCTCTCTATTGTTCGTTAACCTTTGGTCGATCGGAAGAGACCCCAAAGTTTGGAGTAATCCAATGAAGTTCAATCCTGAGAGATTCCTGAAACCAAACGAGAGCGATGGCCTCGAAACTAACATTGATGTTAAAGGGTTCAGCTATCAGTTGTTGCCATTTGGAACTGGAAGAAGAGGGTGCCCTGGAATCAATTTGGCCATGCAGGAGTTGCCGACGACTCTGGCGGCGATGATCCAGTGCTTCAACTGGAAGGTTGTGAATCCTGAAGGAGTGGAAATAAAGGGCAAAGATTTGGTTGATATGTCTGAACGGCCAGGATTGACCGCTCCTAGAGCTCATGATCTTGTTTGTGTACCGTTGGCACGGTGTTCTCCGGTGTCATAGATCCGGTTACTTTGGAATGTAATTGCTTGAATTAATGGTTTTCTTTGTTATCATATTTTTATCAGAAATTAAGTTTCAAGAGAAATATGTACTGTATTTTGTCGTATCTTAATAAAATTGTATTATATATATGCATTTGTTTTCCTTTTCTTGGGAGTCCACGAACACGGTAATATCCTAATTAAAATATTTGAAAATAAATAGACACGAAAAAAAAAAATTATGATGTATAATTGATTGCTACAACCATTCATGAACCTATAATCAATTTTCTTTATTCATGAAAATATGATCATCGTTTATAATGGATATCTTAAAGACGATTTAATACTCTGTTTATGAGGATATAAATCATATAATCATATTACATAAAAAAAAAATATATATTTATTTGAATATATATGAAAATAAGGTTTTTTCATATATGAAAAGTTTTAGGTGCAAACATTTAGAAAAGTTTTTAACAAGTGAGAGATTGAGTCCTTTGCTTTTGATTTTGTATTTTGTAAAAAAAGCGAGATATTAGAACCAAAGGTGGTCTGCAAATAAAAATTTTAGACGTACACACATATATATATATTCTTTAATTAAGATGTATTCATAATAATTTCATTAAGACTATACTTATTCACCGTTGGATTCATCTAATTGTACTTAAACACGTTTTTATTTCACATGTTTTGACATAATTTTTAAAATGACCAACCAGTCTCACAAAATACAAAAACAAAACTAGTAATTAACGGTTAAAATTTTATTCCTGTTAAAAACTTTAGGATATTCATACTTAACCAACTTTAAATAGCACTGATAGTTTTCCAAGATAACTTATTATAATAATTTTAATACAAACTTTTATAGTAATTAACATAGAATACGCTTAGGTAACACTTTTGGTGCATATTTGTGTGGAGAAGTAGTTGAGACTTGGTGATGTAGAGCTAGTAGCTGGTATTGGAGAAGAAATAAATGCTACAAAAGGAATAAAATTAGATTATTATTTGTGAGAAGAAAAGACATTATAACTAGAAGACAAAAATACATTGAGTCCATTAATTGTGCCCATATGTATGATAAAATCTCATTCAAGTAGATAAGGTTGTGTTGGAGTATTCAAAATTGAAAAATTTATCTTTTAATAATTGTTTTAAATTTGTAATCAAAATTGGAAATTATTACTAATGAAATTCGCATTTTAAAATTATGAATTATTATGTCATTATGTTGATATTTATAATTACCAATAATTATAATGTAAAAATGATAGAGAATTATAAAATAAATTATGGAGTGAGCAATTATTCCGTTTTATCTTATTACAATTGTAGAAAGTAGAAATATGGTGACCCATCTGTTACAGAACGATATTTTTATAATAACTTTCAATATGATATGATTATGATCTTTTTCTCTATAATTTGGTGGGTGTAAAATTCAAGATTTTTTTTTAGGTTAATTTTTTATTTTTCTTTTATACTTAATAGAATTGTTCTAAAATTTTAAAAGAATTGTTATTTTTATTTTTATAATAGTTATGTTAATTTTAATGTCGTTCACACAAGATAAGATTGAGTGTACTTTAGATTTTTATAAAAATTCTCAAAAGTTACTTCCAGATTTCATGGACTAGTTAAGCCAAACCTCAGGATTAAATTATAATTATTCATATTTTCTATGGGAAAAAATCGAAAGGTATTTAATTTATTTTCTTTTATAATAAATAATATTCTAAGCTCATTTTGGGAAGAAAAATGCTATAGATACCGACATTTTACATCGGATTTTTACACCGAACGACGTGTCCACTGAATCAGACGAGCCACGTATCATGTTAAAAAATATTCCGCGAATGAACGGTCTTCCTCATCCATTGTTATTGGAAGGTCGTTCATTTGAAATGGACTGTCGTCCATATTATATGAACGGCCATCCATCTAGAATAGACACCCGTTTATAGTTTAAACTAAAAAAATTTGACTTAAATTGTTTATGGACAACCGTCCTCATTATGGACTCCCGTCCATATATTATGGACATGAGTCCTTTTACTATAGACGGTCGTCCATATAATTTCAGATGAAATATTTATTTTTAAAGTATAAAATTTTTAGATGAAATAAAAGAAAAAAAAATTTGATTTTAAGTAAAAGTATGGACGCTGTACAGCCATCCAAATGAATGGACTAGCGGTCATTCTCAAATTTTTTTTTTTTAATTTTCAATTTTTTTTTTCATTTATAAAAAAAGGCAAGAGAGAAATGAAAAATGGCGTCCATTCTCAAATTTTTTTTTTTGAATTTTCATTTTTTTTTTCATTTATAAACAAAATGCAAGAGAGAAATGAAGCCTGTTTTGGGAGGCCTAAATTTTTAAACATTCTAATTGAAAATTTTAAAGAAAAAATTTATTAAACTAAAATTTGGGCCTCCCAAATTGAATGTAAATTTTTTTAAATTAAACAATGATCAGGCGTCCATCTAAAAGGGAAGTCTGTCCATTGAATATAAATTTTTTTGGACGGGCGTCTATCTTATATGGACGTTCGTCAATAGTAAATAGACACACGTCCATATAAGATGGACGGACGTTCATTATTTTTCTTTTAAATTCTTTTGGACGGGCACCTGTCCATACAATATGAACAGGAGTCAATTAAATATGGGCGGGAGTCCATAAATGTTAGACGGCCGTTCATTCATGAAAGACTCCAGTATGGTCATGTCTGACTGGTTGCCATGTCCTTCAATACAAAAATTCAGTGTAAAATTTTGGTGTCTGTAGCATTACTCCTTTGGGAATTGGACTTCAAAATTAGAGCCACTAACTTAATCATTTCTCTAATTTATCTACTGTACTTAAAATATATCAAAGCCTTTTTTTTTTCTTAAAGAAAAAATAAGTTTATTGATAAATTTTAGAAGATTGGAACGATAAACTTATAGGAAAAAAAAAGAAAAAAAATTAAATAATAATCTTTCATAAAAGATTTTATAATAGTAAATGATAAACTTGTAACAGAATAAAATGTTTTAAAACGGAGTATCATCAATCATAACTCGTAAGATATTTTTATAAAAAAACTCAGTTATAGGACACTTATATTAGAAAAAAAGACAATGAGAAGATACTTAAAGATTTAAAACTGTTAACCTTAATTTTATTAAGATTATTAAGAAGTTGTATGTGTAATATAGTTTCATATAACATAACTTTTTTAAACTACAATAATAATTAATAAAAACAGATCAATAAGAAAATGACACATGTCAAAATAAAAATAAATGAGAACATATAAATAAATAAAAATTGAAAAATAAGGAAAAAAAAATGAAACTATACTTTGTATTTTGTTATAATTATTTTTAATATATATTGCGTTTTCTTTTTAATTTGTATAATTATACATATTTTTTATTTTATTTTTTAAATTATAGTGATGTATGTATTGTTTTATTTCTAACTTTAATTTTTTTTTAAATAATAAAATCACTCATACAAATATTTCAATTCTTAAAAATTACAGTTAAAATTAGCGGTTTTACACCGCTAAATGTTCTCTCATTGTCTTTCTGAATATTTGTGTTTGATAATTGTAAATTTTGATAAAATTGTCAGTTGGATGATAATAATCCTTTTAAAATTTAATTATAAATCATGCTTGAGACAAATTAAATTAAATTTTAAATAGAAATTTTGTTGTACAGCTATAATGAGTAATTATAAATTCTACTTTAATATTACAAGAATGTAATATGCCTCTCTCTCTCTCTCTCTCTCTCTCTCTCTGTGTGTCTATATATATATATATATATATATATATATATATATATTATGGTATGAATTTAATATGCATGAAAATGTGAATTGTTCAGGAAGATATTTTGCATGAGAAATCTATTACTAGAGATGGTGTAATACTTAATTTTTGTTTTTTTAATAATTAATAATGTAAGTTAATCTATGGTATTGTTATTGAGTGATGTTATTATGCTTTAATTTATTTTTAAAATCTTATAAGTTTGTTGAATTTGAATATTGAGTTACAACAAATTAATTAATAACAATGTAGTCGGGATATTTGTGTAATTTTTATCACCTTGTGACAACTAAGATAGATTTATTAAATGCAAACCCCGAGGAGTTGGCTTGACAATGAAGAAGGTATGCTCTATTTCTTGAGTTTTTAAGTTCAAACTTGAAGTCACTTACCACAACAACAATTTGACTTACCTGATTATTTGGGTTTATAGGGTATTTAATAGACCCTAAAGATTAGTTGAGGTACCCACAAGCTGGTCCAGACACCTTGGTTATATATATATATAGTCATAAAAAATTTTATTCCTAATTTGGGATATTTATAAATAAGAATAAACTCCACATTGCAATCAGTAATAATTTTTTTAATTCCCGTCTTAAGGAAAGTTGCCTCCATATAATAATAATTATCTATATATTGCAAAAAAATACATGGTATGTTACATTAAAAGTTTTAAGATGAAATAAAATATTTATTTGAAGTTGTTTGAGACAATAATTTATGCTTTAGAGTTGTTATTATATCTTTTAACTTGCGGGTACATTACTCGCTAGCATGAACATTTTTTTGTTAAAGCCAAAACATTTCTAGCTTCTCAAGCATGTTTAGAGCTTCTTGACATGAAACGTTTTGTATTTCCGTACTATCATCCTCATAATTATTTCCTTTCTCTTTTTATTTAATTGTAGAAATGATTTCTTCTTTTGTTAAAGCATACATGACTTGCTACTCATTTGGATGATTAAGGAAGACATTAATATTAATTCGATTAGTGTAGTGAAGTTGTCAAATTTGATTACTCAATTCTACAATGACTCTTTGATTCTCCTCATCCACTTCTTTTGTAACTTACAATTCATCGACATCGGGGGTCCTAATTTTGTAATGCTTATAACAATTGGCAATTGTCTGTGGCTTCATATCAATTGTCATGTAGCAACTGCGTTTACAATTTCATCAAGGACAATTATTTTTGTTGGTTTCAAAACACGATCTTCTATCCGTTTCAAAAGTAGACAATTAAAACGCTGAATTGAAACCCTAATATTATTAAAATATGAATTAAAATCCTAATATTATACTACTAAAACATGAATTATGAAATAAGAAATTTTTTTAACTACACCCCTATTAAGTTATAACCTCTTTATAATAATAAAATTAGTTAGTCCCACTAATATGACTATAGAAAAGTTTTATTGTTGTTAATTTAATCGAAAATTAAAAATCTTAACCACAATGTAACTAATGCCAAAGATTTATGCTTTTTTTTCTTTTTTTTCTTTTTAAAGCCTATCATTTAATATTATAAGTGTATTGTTTCTGATATTATTTATGAATTTTCAACCACCAATTTGACTGGAAAAGCATGTCAACATCTTACTTGTGACAACGAACAATAGATTTAAAAATGTAAAAACGGACTTATAACAATTGATAGATAATGGCTTACATTGCACTCAAATATTAACTACCATTAATTTTACGGACAATTAACAATAAACTTAAAACGTTCAACAATAAACTTATAAAAACAACTCTAGTATCTTCACGATGTTGTAACCGTTGCTATCAAAGGCGGATCCAGCCCACTTTGGCCCACCCTCAATTTATTTTTTAATATTAATATATATAATTTTTGGATTTTGACGCACCCTAACAAAAATATTAATATTTTTAGTCTACCCTAAAAAAATTTCTGGATCTGTCACTGGTTGCTATGATTTATTACATATAATTACTACAAAGTGCAACCATTGAAACTATGCTAACTAGCTCTTGAAACAACAAGTTCTCAAAGATGGCCACAATTATATCGAGCATGACCAGATTGGTCCCTAAAAAAAGCACCCAAAAGCACAAAAATTATCAACTTCAAAAGCAATGCAGAAGTATCCACTAATGAACCAATAAGATAAGCTTGTGTAGATAATTTAACCAATCTCATTCTCCTTTCCTTCACATATTCATCCATTGCTTCTTCAATAAGCTTCTGACCTTTGAATTCTTTACGATCATTATTGGCTTGAATTATTTTTCTTGTCATGCATCTAGCAAGCACAATTGCATCTTCTATACCGGATGAGCCACCTTGGCCGAGGAATGGAGTCATCACATGCATCGAATCTCCGGCTACCGTCATGGTTCCTCTCCGAAATTGGCCTAATAATATGTCCCATGGGGCACGATATCTCAGATGGGTGAGTGTTAGGGTAAAAATGTCACAATTTTTTACCAGTTTATCTTTTCTAAAGAGAAATCCTTGACGGACTCTATAGTCATTTGTTTGATCATCTCTTGATCTTTGAACACCTTTGAATCTGCAGTTAACATGATAAAAATGTTATAGAAAGCTAATGAAATAAATTAATAGACTAAATGAAAATAATCCTTGAAACTCGTATATAAAGAATCCTAACATATTAATTATCAGTTAGTCATGATCTAAAACGGTTTTCCTTACCCATCTTTTAAGTATGTCCTATATATGACTTGTAGTTATAGATACTGATATTCATAAAATGAACTCCATCCTATAGAAAATTGAGGATTTTTTTTAATGAATGGTACAGAGTTATACATCGACTTGTAAGAAGAAACAAAGAAAACAATTATCTAGATCGAAATTAAGTTAATGATGTGTGATTATGCATGAAAACATAAGATTTTTAGGATTGCTTACGTGAGAATTAATTTTGCCTCCTTGTGATTAATACTCAAAATGATAAAATCTTGATCTATTAATTATTCCATAGAATATTATAAGTCTAATTCTCTCATGTTCTGAAACATTTCTCATAAACAATCTATAAACATTAATTACAACCTTAATTGTTTTTCTCAAGTGATGAGAGAATCGTGATCGTTAAATAAACCAATATTTAAAAGCTTAATTAGTCATAAATGTGCGTACCCTGAAGATGCCATTGGTGAACAACGAACCAGAAAGCTAGGTTATCAGTGACTGGAGCCATTCCAAACAAAGTGTTATCTCTTCTTGTTCGGACTAGCTCATGAGCAAATCCATGACCATTTGGGAAATATGTAAATCCTCTCACTGCACATGAAGAGTGAAGCTTCTTGGGTTTCAACTCAAGAAAATCCGCAACCACAGAGTTGGCACCATCGCATCCAATCAACACCTGCAAATCACATATAATTTTTTTATACGTCCCTCAGAATGACTATATAAATTTATTTTGGAGAGCCAAAATGTAATATTCAATAAATGAGGGCGCCAGAATAATTAAATATGAAATTATTATGAGCTTCATTAGTATCGAAGAATATGTAAATTACCTTGGCTCTAATTGTATTACCATTATTCAAATGAAGAATGGTAAAACAAGAGTTTGTATCCAATTTCACAGAGAGAATTTGGCATCCAAATCTTATAGTGCCAAGTGGGAGATCTTGAGCTAGAGCTTCAATTAGATCACTTCTTTTTACACAACGAATTTTCCCAATATTCCTGCTAATTGAAAAGCTTCAAAATATTAATATATTTGATTTCTATATATTTGGTTTCTTAATTGACATTAATTTCAGTGAATATATTTATATGTTAATATTAAAAAACAACTTACGAGAAGGAGGTTAATTCTTCTTGTTGCTTGCTACCATTCAGAAATACGTCTCGAACCCTGTGTTTTTATAATAATTATAGCTAAAAAAAAATTATGTAATCATATGAAGTTATAACTTGGGATAAGAAATTTTTAATAATATTTGAGATGTATAACATTATATAACATTGAATATTGATGCATGATATATACTCGGTAAGAATGCAATATATATATTAAAAATTAACATTCATCTTGAGGTTTGAGGGCTGTCCATATTTTGTATCAATCGATATTTGATTAACTGGTCTGAAGTTGTTGACAAAAAAGATTTGTTTGAGTCACTTCCTTTTTCTTTGTCTAAATCACTCTTTTTGTTTTTTTGTTTTTTTTTTTTTTTTTTTTTTTTTTTTTAAGTTTCGAGAATATCTCTATTCATAGGTCTAAGATCACATTTATTAATTGATTATAACGGCTTACTAAAAGCAAGTTTTATACTTTCTAATAAGTTGCCAAACGTTAGACTATAATGTCTTTAGCTTTATAAACATTGAAAAAAAAAAAAACTCAATTACGAATTACCCTAATTATATTTTGAACTTGACTAATTTACAACAACATTTATTAAAAACTCTTTTTAAAATCAAAAAGGTAAAATAACTAATAATAATTGAAAAAAAAACTTAAATAACAAACATCCTTAACATTAAAAAACAAATACTAAATAAAAAAGGATTAAAAAAATTATTAAAGATTTTGAAAAATTAAGAATAATTTAAAAAAATACTGCAAAAATCTAGAAAATAAAAACATCTAAAAAATATTTGCCAAGTTCAATTTTTTTTTTAAATTTTTCTTTCAGATTTGTATAATTAATTTTTTAACTTTTTAGAAAGTAAGTTTTTCAATTTTTAGATCATTTTTTTCACATATTTCTTATTCTTTTCATTATTCCAGATTTTGTTTTCATTTTTCTATATTTTTTCATTTTTTCCCCTTTTTTTAGTTTCTTTTCCTATTTTCTTATTAAAATTTGTGATATTTTTTACATAATTTAAGAAATTTTTTAGCTTAACATGGATGTTGGGTGCTAGGAGAGATGAAGTGAAAGGGAGTTGGTTGTGATTGATGGGCATAACAGGTGAGGGTATTGAGGTCATTTACCCTTTCTATGGTTAAAAGTAATAAAAAGACACCAACGGCACTAAGGCAGGGGGTTGAGAATCATTATTAGTACCAATGGGAGGTAGAGATAATTACCAGCACCAAAGGGGGTTTGTTAGATTTGGCCAAAACTCGGGGGTTTAAATTATCCCTTATCCTTATCTTCTTTTAACGTAATTTATTGAAGTTGTTGGCATGGGCGGCGTTTATCAGTAATAAGTATTGCGAAATTAATGGATGAAAGAGAAAATTAAACATACTTCTCAAGAAGGTATTTAGCCTGACCTTCGAGGCAACTCCAAGCTCATCCAAAGCTCTCCATCCATTTGCCTGAATTGCAATTCCACCTCCTGTTGCTCTCAATGCTTCTTCTGATCTCTCCATCACTACACTCTTCATTCCCTTCCTGCAACATTAAATGTCAACATAGTTCGATCAAAATCGACTAGATCTTACATGTTTTGAGTTTAAGATTCTATCTTTCACCCAAAACCTGTAAAATGAAGATGGTTATAAGATTAAGAAGATGAATATATACCTGTGAAGAGCAAGGGCAGTGGCAAGGCCACAGATGCCTCCACCAACAATTACAACATCAAGATCTTCAAATATTGCATGATCCATTTCTTTCTTTCTTTTCTTGTTATCTACTAGCTAGTACTAACCTTACTTCTATCTATATCTTGAGATTTGATTAGACTTTGAGTTATGAGCTACTAAGTTTCCTGGTTAGTTAATTAATTTCAGTTGAATTTTCCTGGGGATCAAGCAGCAAACGAGGTCATAGGTTGAGTCATGATTTCACTGAGTATTATATCTTTTATAATATATAGTGCCATGGAGAATATATAATTCATATGTGTAAATTCAAGTAAGGTGGCACGTTATGATTGGTCTGATTATGTAATGGGTTTCTTTAAGGGAGAACGAGTATTTTCCACCCAAGGTTTGGCGAAATGACCCTTATCCACCCTTCAAGTTTTAAAACGACACTTTCTCACCCACCGTTAGGTTCCATTAGAAAAATCCGTTTTTAAGAAGGGTAAGATGGTCAAGTTATGTGAAGCTGCAAAAATCAAAATTTAAAAATTGAAATCTCAATCAGTGTAACTTCGCCTGAATGGTTGCCAAGTGCTCCACTAAAGTTGACCCAGAAAAAATGGGTGGATGAAAAGACATTTGCCTTTTTTCATTGTTCTCTGTAACTAAAGCTTAAACAGTTAGGGTTGGCGACCAGCAACTGGGGTCTTGGATGATGACAAGTGGGGTCTCGGTAAGGAGGAGGAAGGTGGCGTCGTGGCCGTCGTAGAGGAAGGGAAGCCCAAAGAAGTGACGGAGATCGATAACTTGAAGAAGGCATCAGTAGATTCGTTCTATGGGACCGATCGTCGGTTGACGGAGACTAGCGAAACGAGCAAAAATCGTTGAGCTGATCACACAGCTTGAAGCTAAGAATTCGACTCCCACACTGACTGAGGCGTTAACTTTGCTTAAAGACAAATGGATTCTTGCGTAAGTGTTTGTTTTGTTGTTTGGTTCGTGGGAAAATTATGATGAAGGGATTGAATTTGGGAGTTTTTAAAATTGGGTATTTTTGTGGTTTGTTAGTACTTGGGCTAAGTTGAAACTTTGGTTAATTTAGGATGATATAATCACATAGCTTATTTTAGTTGAATTCCACTGCTTTGGAAATGAAAATATGAATGAAATTTTAATCCTTTTTGATAATTTGTTTGTTTATTGCTCATAGGCTAGGCATATTTATCGCTATAAAATCAGTGATTTGTTAACAATATATTTGGGGGTTAGAGACTCTCAAGAACTTGGAGTTGTAAAATTGAGATAAAAATTTTGGATGTTCCACTGGTGATCTTATATTCTGCCACGAATATGCTTTGCAACTTCAAAATTGTTATGTTATTAATTGTAATCAACACCAAAGTCCAAAATTGATATTTCTAAATTGTTGACTCTGCTTTTATATAATCAATTCTACTTTGGTAGTATATAGTAGGTGGCTGCAGAACTCTCCAAGAAACTGTGTTAATTCTGATGGCAAAAATTGGTGTTTAAATTTGTGCTTAGCAAGAGGCTTTAGATTTTCTTGAGTTGGAACAGAGATGCAGTTGTAGCACCAATAGATGGATTTACGCCTTTCATATTGTGGTCTTGTTGACATTGAGTTTAAATTTATGTGTGGCAGTGCAGGTATACATTGTTTTCCTATTTGTTCCCCTTATTGTCAAGGGGTTCATTGCAATTGGCGAGAGTGGAGGAGGTATCTCAGACAATTGATTCATTAATTGGTGAGGGCTCATATGGAAGAGTGTATTTCGGTGTGGTGAGAAGTGGGCAGCTGCAGTCATCAAGAAATTAGATTCTAGTAAGCAACCAGACCTGGAATTTCTAGCACAGGTTTGGCTTATTATTGTGCATTATCTTCAGTTCTTCTATTGTGTTGCAATAAATATTTTGTCGAATTTAATAGTTCACACATGATTTTAAAGGTTTCCATGGTATCAAGACTTAAACAAGAAAATGTTGTTGAGCTTGTTGGTTATTGCATTGATGGCAGTCCATGCATCCTTGTCTATTAGCATACTTCAAAAGGATCTCTTTATGCCATTCTTCATGGTAAGTGGTGTCATATTATTTCTATATTTTCTACTCTTAGCGACCATACCAATGAAGATCATTATGTGGGTTGACTTTATAAATCATGTAAGGTGTTTCTAGCTGATGGGTGATCATTTATATTTGAGAATTTTGGTATTCTTTGCATATCATAATTGGTTTAAGTATAAAGTTTTGCAATTGATGGTTGTGGAAGCCTAGTGTCAAAACAAATTCGAGAGATGAATAGAAGATGATATTCAATTTTCAAAATCAAAAGGTTACCCTCATTCTTCCTGTGCTAATTAATATGCCATTTGCAGCATCTTCAATTCCGCCCTGACAATGATTTCACTGCCGCGTGGACGGCAAACCCTTGTGACATGGGTATGAACTTCATCTTTGTTCTTTTCTACCACTAACTCGTTCTGGAACATACATATTTTTTCTATTTTGTTACTCTATATTGATAACTAGCAAATTCATATTATGTGTAAGCTTCATTCAAGCGAATTTTTATGCAATCTGGATTGTTTTAGGCAACTCCAAAACTCAGCGAAGATAAAGTGAAGCAATGCGTTGATGCTAAGTTAAATGGAGAATACCCTCCTATGACAGTTGCAAAGGCACTAAAGATGGTAATTTCGGTTGAAAATAATACATCAAATTCAAGCGTTCTTGGTGGAAGAGCGAAAGATTGTAAAGAAGGTTTTGAAGATCCAAAAAGCAAAGGAATAGAAAGCTTCAAGGAGCTAGAAAGTGGGAGGATGAAAGCAAAACTTTTTGGATTTTAAGAAATGAATGAGATACTAGAAAAGTTGTTTTCTTTATATTGAATTCCCTATTTTTATTGGGTTTGAATTGTCAAAATTTCTTATATATATATGCATTGTAATTTTACAATCTGGATTCTTATTTAAGCAAATTGGTAATGCTAATACTTAGTTTTATTTGGGGTTAAATTGACAAAATTTAAATATAAATAGGGTTGCAACAACTACTAGGACAAATTATCTAGGACAAATTGATAATTTTAAAAATCTAACGGTGATTTAAGACATTATATTTAATAAAAAACTAGACGAACAAATTGGTAGGCATCAATAATTTCATATTTAAAGAGGGTATGGTGATAATTGACTATATTGACATGACATAAAATAATAAAAGAATAAGAAGTCAAATAATAAAGGGTACTTTCGTCTTTGCAGTCAAATAGTAACAGGTTTTTCTAACAGAGCATAACGGTGGGTGGGAAAGTGTCATTTTGAAACTTAACGGATGGAAAAGTGTCGTTTCACCAAACCTTGGGTGGGAAAATGTCGTTCTCCCTTTCTTTAATTAAATTAACCAATACTTTTGTTAAGGATAAATCTAAACCTAAAGTTGTTCTCATGCATTAATTAATAAAAAGGAAAATAATAGAGACACCTAGAGTAGTGCACCGAATCTGTACATTGAATGACATGACATAATCCTTATCGTCGATTAATTATAACTTAATATTAATCGACGGTCAGGATTACGCCACGTCATTTAGTGCATAGATTCGGTGCACTACTCCCGGTGACTGTAACATTACTCTAATAAAAAAGGTGACGCATGTGCATATGTTTGCTTAAAGGTTCACATGAAGAAGACTTATACTACAATTTTTTTTTTTTTTTTTTTTTTCATGTTCGACTTCGTCAAAGTTTTTAGAATAATATTATTGTGTGAGAAAGTAAAAGAATAATGCAACACCAGATCTAACTTTGGATTTAAACTCAATGTGTAAACGTTATAGTACTTGTAAGAAAGTAAATCTTTTATTACATTAATCTATAATTATATAATACTTATATATTAACAATATTACTCTATTAACAACTAGATTATAATTAGATTATTAAGATGAGATCTAAACTTTATAAGAATTAACTATAAAACAAAATAGAAAAAAAAAGGCCTGGCCTACGCCCTTATACCCGGGCTTTGCATTATATCTTTAATCAATTAGCTGTCCGACTCTGCAGAAGGTTAATGATTAATTCAATAACAAGTTTACTTATAATTTCCACAAAGTAATATTGGAATTGAAAAGCACTAGGAAACTAGTCAAAACTCTCATTAACTAACCAATACTTACCACCAGTCATTTCTAACCAATAGCTAGCAAAACCAGAATAATCATTGACCATTGGGGTGGAATCTTTTAAACTAAATTGTTTACACAAATTTTAAACTGTTGATCCACTACAATCCATGGTGTAAGAGTTAATAAGGTGATAATGAAAATAACCACCTTCAACTTCCATCACATATCCGTTAGATTGCAATAAATTAGGAGGCATAAACTTGTTTTCCATTTAAGCAAGAATTTAAGTTAAAAGATCCCTATAACAATTAGCCCGTTTCTATACATATATAACAAAGATAAACATCAAAATATGAAAAATTATTGAAACCTTACTATGAAAAGTCCAACTTCTGTTACTCTTAATGGAAAAAGGATTACCTTAATTCAACCTTGTTTTGATTGGTTTATAACTTCAAACAAGCTGCACCTTCACAACCCATTGTTGATAATTAATGTTACCGAACAAATTGAAGTCCCTTTCGGCTTTGCATCCTCAAATGAGTCTTGTTTTATAAGCTGCTTAACTTCATTAAAAAAAAGTCAAGTGGGGTAAATTTAAAAGCAACAAATACAGTATAACAATGAAGTTACCCACAATTAACGATGCAAGATAATAAAATTTCTGAAGAAATTCCAAAATCTAATGCTCTGAAAGTTCAACANGTCGATTAATTATAACTTAATATTAATCGACGGTCAGGATTACGCCACGTCATTTAGTGCATAGATTCGGTGCACTACTCCCGGTGACTGTAACATTACTCTAATAAAAAAGGTGACGCATGTGCATATGTTTGCTTAAAGGTTCACATGAAGAAGACTTATACTACAATTTTTTTTTTTTTTTTTTTTTTCATGTTCGACTTCGTCAAAGTTTTTAGAATAATATTATTGTGTGAGAAAGTAAAAGAATAATGCAACACCAGATCTAACTTTGGATTTAAACTCAATGTGTAAACGTTATAGTACTTGTAAGAAAGTAAATCTTTTATTACATTAATCTATAATTATATAATACTTATATATTAACAATATTACTCTATTAACAACTAGATTATAATTAGATTATTAAGATGAGATCTAAACTTTATAAGAATTAACTATAAAACAAAATAGAAAAAAAAAGGCCTGGCCTACGCCCTTATACCCGGGCTTTGCATTATATCTTTAATCAATTAGCTGTCCGACTCTGCAGAAGGTTAATGATTAATTCAATAACAAGTTTACTTATAATTTCCACAAAGTAATATTGGAATTGAAAAGCACTAGGAAACTAGTCAAAACTCTCATTAACTAACCAATACTTACCACCAGTCATTTCTAACCAATAGCTAGCAAAACCAGAATAATCATTGACCATTGGGGTGGAATCTTTTAAACTAAATTGTTTACACAAATTTTAAACTGTTGATCCACTACAATCCATGGTGTAAGAGTTAATAAGGTGATAATGAAAATAACCACCTTCAACTTCCATCACATATCCGTTAGATTGCAATAAATTAGGAGGCATAAACTTGTTTTCCATTTAAGCAAGAATTTAAGTTAAAAGATCCCTATAACAATTAGCCCGTTTCTATACATATATAACAAAGATAAACATCAAAATATGAAAAATTATTGAAACCTTACTATGAAAAGTCCAACTTCTGTTACTCTTAATGGAAAAAGGATTACCTTAATTCAACCTTGTTTTGATTGGTTTATAACTTCAAACAAGCTGCACCTTCACAACCCATTGTTGATAATTAATGTTACCGAACAAATTGAAGTCCCTTTCGGCTTTGCATCCTCAAATGAGTCTTGTTTTATAAGCTGCTTAACTTCATTAAAAAAAAGTCAAGTGGGGTAAATTTAAAAGCAACAAATACAGTATAACAATGAAGTTACCCACAATTAACGATGCAAGATAATAAAATTTCTGAAGAAATTCCAAAATCTAATGCTCTGAAAGTTCAACACATTTAAGTTCTTTGAGATACCTGGATAAAAGTATTATGCACATCCATAACTGGCAACTGCGATGAATGGCAGTGTAGGCCAATGCAAGGTCAAACTCTAAAGTTTATAAATCTGAAAGTTCAACACATTTAAGCCTTGAGAAGAGATCAAATGAACGAATTGTTTAAAGTGGAACATAAATTTGTTTACTAGCTGATTATAATTGTAAATAAGATAATGAGAAAGGAAAATAAAGAATTTTCGTGAAGAAGATCAAGTATTTGCTTCTGAAATCTTTTTCAAGACTTTAAATGTCAGGAAAAGGAGTCCGTTTAAAAGATTTATTAGCTTCATTTAAGCAAACAAGCAGAAAAACTAGACTGAGAAAATAAATAAATAAATAAAGCTAATACTACCCACTACCTTTAACTCCAGCACATACAAAATTAACCAATTTATACAAGAATAAATTAAAAATATATATATTTAAATGGGTAAAAATTCTATCAATGAACAAGCAATTGAAGCACTAAGTAACATATCATTTTTTGATAAAGTAAAATAAATAAATAAATAAAGCTAATACTACCCACTACCTTTAACTCCAGCACATACAAAATTAACCAATTTATACAAGAATAAATTAAAAATATATATATTTAAATGGGTAAAAATTCTATCAATGAACAAGCAATTGAAGCACTAAGTAACATATCATTTTTTGATAAAGTAAAATAAATAAATAAATAAAACTTCCGTTAATAGTTACCATTAAGAGGACAAAGAAACCATAAGAAGCTCCAGCAAAAGAAACTCCCTTCAAAGTTAACAGTCAGTTTGGTTTCTGGTTATTCTCTCAGGATGGATGTGGTCCCTCATTTGGTCTACTACTTCCACTGGTGGTGGTGGTGGTTGCAGGATATCTCTCAAAGTGAGTGCTGGGTTATGCAACTATTGGATGGACTCCACAACTTTTCACTTCGCAATTCTTTACGTAACCATAAAGATTTCGATGTGCTGAAATCAAATTTGATAGTTGTATAGTCACCCTTAAGTAGTTGTGCATCCTTACAAGGACTATACCCCATAACTATGTGATCATTTAACTTCTTCCTACAAATGTGAATAAAACAATGCCAACGCAAGCGAATACTGTTACCATAATCGTCTCGAAACTGGTAACAACATAAGACAGAAAACTTTTGACAGTTTTTGTTAAAATTCTCCCCAAATGTTAAAACAGCAGATAGAGCACATCCAATGAGCCTTTTGCTACACCAATTCTGAGATAGCCCAGTAGTTATAGAAGATCCTGAGTTTTGAAGACTAAACCATTCAGGAATTTCACACCCAGGTAAAAATAAGCAAATTTTAGGTATCTTAGCAAACTCCCGTCGTTAGAAAATCATGAGATTTGATGAGAGATAGAGAAAGTGTATGAGAGGAAAATAGGAAAAGAAAGAGAGAGATATAGTACTAACCTTCGTATGACAAATTCTTAGTGCAAGAGATACCATTCGCTGACTTATATGCTGTGAATTTGTCAAAATGTTGTCTTCTGCCATCTGATTCAGTTTTAGGCAATTTGTAAATATGAATTGCAAACTCAAGCATGAACATGGGTGGAAGCATACGGATACTGTTTCCAGTTCTGATTTTCAGCCATTTCTTCTACATTTGATGGAAGCTCTGGTATTGATTGGAGTCGCCTGCAATAGCTTGCATCCAAATACATTAGAGCCGGTGGAAGCTCTGGAATTGATTGAAGCACATTGCAGCTGCTCAAGGTAAGCTCTCTTAGCTGAGATAGTTGCTTAATACTTGTGGGAAGACTAAAAATATTGTTTCCTCTTACATTTAATTTTTTCAATGAGGATAAACAGCAAATTTCTTCTGGAATTTCTGTTATGTTGCAGAAACCAAAGCTTAATTTTTTAATTTCCCTCCAACGTGCTATTGAGGATGATAGTTGACTTTTAGAAATCCTGTGACTCCAAAGACTAAGACTATGAAGAGGTTTCAACTCATAAACGCTAGTTGAACCATGCAATTTATATGTTAATAAAGAAGAACATAATATATTTACTATATATTGAATCAGACCTTGTGTTCTACACCGAGTTGCTCAACATTACTATGGGGCAACTCTAGCACAAGAAGGTTCCTTGGAATAAAATTTGATGGCAATGTTTTCAAAGGATATCCATGCCAATGGAGATACCTCAACTCATCAGAAAGATATCTTAGTCCCAGCGGAAGATGCACCTTAGAGCTTTTAATAAATTCTCCATCATGCAAATGAGATTTATAAAACTTAAGAAATTTAAGACTAGACATCTTCTCAAAGGCTTCAGACCGTAGATGTAAATCTGGAATTTTGGACATATCTAAGAACAAGCCTCGAACTGCATTTGTCCCCTTCATACAAACAAAAAAGAACATATAAGTTAGTACGTAGTACACTCTCTTCATAAAATCAACATAGATAATATGTTGCTTCATTCTTTGATCGAAATTTTGGCATATATTGGGAAAAAAAAAAAAAAAATTTAAATCATTTGACTCTTACTGTTTCGTTCTTCAGGACATGAAAGACATCTTCATGATTCCATAACCTGCTACGTTTGCCAGGTTCTCTGAAGGATTCTTGATGAACAATTTCCTTGCCCATTTCTTTTAATAAATCATGCATTTCTAGGGTGTTATTGTTTGATATTGTCATAAGTGACATATCAATAAGGATGCTGAATCCAACTTGTACAGAAAGGTAACAGCTACTTAAATTTTTTTTGCATGACCACTATCATATCCTTTAAAGAAACATGCTATGTCAAGAAATATTTCTTGCTCTTCTTGATCAAGCCCATCATAACTAATTCTCAACATATTATGAATTTTAGGATCAGAAATTCTCCTTAATTTAATCAATACACCTTCCCAATCTTCTTTGATCTTTCGATATAGGCCAGAACCCAAAACTTTAAGAGCTAATGGATTGCCCTTGGCCTAATCAACAAACTGGTCTGAGAGCTCCAAAAATTCTTTAGGGGAACATCTTTGTTTAAAGGCAAAATTAGAGAAGATTTGAAGAGCTTCATGGTACTTGAATCCATTTAGCTCATATATGTTATCCACTCCATAACTACTAAGTACACGCTTATCTCTAGTGGTGACAATCACTCTGCTTCCTGGACCAAATCCATCAATTCCTGCTATAAAAAATTCCAATTGTTCTAAATCATGGACATCATCGAGGACAATAAAAACCGTTTCATTTTCAAGTCTCTTCTTAATATATCGAGGTACGTTTGGAGTACCTATTGTGAGATTTTCTTCTTCTAACATTTGTGAAAGAACTTGATTGCGTAAATAAACTTGTCCATATCTTTCTGATTCTTCCCTGACATTTGGAATGAAGCAAGAATGTTCAAACTGATCATAAATTCGATTAAACAAAGCTTCAGCAAGTGTTGTCTTACCTATACCACCCATACCCCAAATTCTTACCATTCGAAAATCAGACAAACCCAAGCATAATATTGATTCAATATGATCGATATGGGCATCCATTCCAATTAAACCTTCACAATCACGAGATGGTGATAAGTCATTCAATTTCTTCAAAATTTCTTTAACAATATCTCCTACAAGTTTGGACTCAGGCCTAACATATATGAAGAAGAAACATATTCTGAGTCAAAATAATGATGGTAAAAGAGACAAAATATAGGGACTTACATGAATCTAAAAGTTAAAATCTATATATATATATATATATAGATAGAGAGAGAGAGAGAGAGAGAGAGAGAGAGAATCAAACTTACCTAATTACCATTGAGTCCCATCTAGATAGATTTGATGCCATAGTCAAAGCAGTTCTCCATCTACGCACCTTTTTTGGTATCTTTTTGAATTTTTTTTCTTGCTTAACAAAAGCATCCTTAAAAGTTCCGCTCTGCTTCCGTACATCAGATGGAGTTACATGATAGAAGATAGGCATAACCATTTGGCCGTATTTTTCCTTACATTCAAGAATCTTTACAAGTTTATCCAAACACCATTTAGAAGAAGCATAGTTTTTTGAGAAAATGATTACTGAAATCCTTGATTCTTCAATTGCTTTTAAAAGTATAGGAGAAATTTCATCTCCTCTCTTAAGTCCGTCATAATCAATAAAAGTTTGAATTTGTTTTCGGCACAAAACGGCGTAGAGAAGGCTAGTAAAGTTATCACGGGTATCCTCACCTCTAAAACTAAGGAAAACATCATATTTGGCTTGAAGAGTGTTGGAAGACAAAGAAGAAGATGATGAAGCCATATAAGAAAATTGAAAGACTGAAATAATGGTAGACCTTGACAAGAATGGAGAGTAATTCTTGAGAGTAGATACAGGAGCTTAATTTGTTTGTATATATGTGAACGAATAAAGTTGGAAAGTACTTGTGACTCTTTGAACCTTTGATTAATTATTGGACCGAAAATTTGCAAAAGTTTCTAGTGACTCACTTTACTAGATAATAGAGTTGATTATTTGAAAATAAACTAGTCCAAAGAAAATGTAAAGATTAAAATTTTTTTTAAGAGTAAACGACATATTCCCACCCAAGGTTTGATGAAATCCCAAATTAGTACAATTGGTTTCATTTATTCTAGATTCTCACTCTTAAAGTAACAGTGTTATGAATTTTTAAGGTTTAGAGGGTGCAAGTACCATAACGCCCTTAACCCTAAATTAATAAACTATGTTTTAACCCTTAAATTAGTAGAATTACAAAACTTGCCATTTTATTTTCAAATTATATCAAAAACACCCTTGGTCACTATACACCCTCCCCAGAAACAGCCCGATCTGGGCTATTTCTGACGACGTCGAACCCCCTGGTCACCTCCATCACCTTCCCCATAGTCTGTCGTCCAAAACCCCTTTGGTTCCCGACTCATTTGCCCCTCCAATCATCGGCACCGTTAGGCTTAAGGTTTCGGTGTTCTTCACCAGATTCCGGTCGATTCCGACTGTGAAAATCTAATTGGACACCACCAATGCAACCACCGTCTCCAAATCTATAAAACCCCTATGTCCCCAGCAACTGTTTCGTCGTCATTCACCGGCCGAGAGTTCGTGTTCATCGACCGTTTTTCGTTGCCGTGGTCGGAGATCGACGAGTGATAAGGGGTTGTGAATGGTATGGTTTTGTAGAGGGGAGGATAGGGGTTCAAATGGTGGTGACAAGGGTGATTTTGGGTGGAAGAATTGCCGAAAAAGAGCAAAAAACGTTGTGAATGACAGCTACTAACTTGCGCCGAAGAACTGTTAGAGGTGGTGGTCTGCTAACATGCGCCGCCCATGTAAAATGACCAATTTACCCCTTTACCGTTACATCAAACGTTTTTCCGTCACTTTAAGGATGAGAATCTGGAATAAATAGAACCAATGGTACTAACTTAGGATTTCGTGAAACCTTAGGTGGGAATATGTCGTTTACTCTTTTTTTTAATGTGAATAATTGATTACAGTGGAGAGCCACCACTTGACATGAATAAAAGTAGAAGTCTAAAAGATGGAAAGAAAAGAAAAGACGAAGAAAGCACTTCAGTACTGCAAATTCCAGGTGGATCCAAAGGCGTTTCATATAAAGTTTCCAAGTAAATATTCTTGTAATTGACCAAAACATGTTTGTAAAAGCATTTTCTCCTATTCCCAATTTTATTTTCCATAGAAGGGGAACCCCACCGCTTGGGCATCAATAATTGATTTGCATATGATATGATACATAGAAGTAATTTCATCTTTGAACTTTCTTCCTTAGAGTAAACGATATTTTCCCACCCAAGGTTTAGCGAATCTTCCAATTCCACCCCTAATTTAATAAATTGCAATTCTCACCCTTAAATTAACTTCATTACTTTTCTTTCAAAATAACCCCTACATCTCAGATTTCTCTCAAATAACCCCCAGAGAATCCTAGCCAAGCCAAGAATTCGGCCTGATTCTGACACCATTGGACATCTCCAACACCACCATCAACATCTCCTTATCCTCCTCACCAAAAACCCTAACTTTTCTACTCGATTGCACCTCAGCGAGGTGCTGGAATTTGGTTGGAAAGGGGAAAAAAAATGCGAAAACCTAAGGGAGAGGCAAGCAATTGCAGTCACGAGGTTAGGGATTTTGGTGGGGGAAAGCCGGTAATGCTATTGGTGGCCTTAGGGGTGGTTTTCGGTGTCAGGACTTGTCGGAATTTAAATGAAACACCGATTGACACTAAAAGTAATAACCGACAATTAGGGGGTTCAATCAGGTAGGGAGGTTAGGGGTTTTCATGTGGGGGTTAAGGGGATTATAATGATGATATCAGGAGGGGTCGATTGTGTCGGAAACAGGCTGGAATAGTCAGAAATCGCCGATGAGGTGAATTTGAGAAGTGAATGATTATTTTGAAATTTTCATCTTTGAAATGATCATTTTACCTTTTTAACTGTTAGATTAAACAGTTATCTGTTAATTTGAGAGTAAAAATCTATAATTTATAAAACCAAGGATGGGAACTACAGATTCACCAAACCTTGGGTGGGAAAATGTCGTTTACTCTTTTACTTATTCTGATATAAAATAAAATTAAAAGTTTAAACTAAAGACGGCGTGTCTAAAAAGAAAATAATCACAAACAACATCAATCCATTGATTTTAACTTTACTGTTTTTCTTTACATGATTATTAAAGAGAAAGGTACATGAAAAGAGAGTATTCAAAATTGGACGCATGTGAAGAGAATTTTCTCCAAATTAATTATTCTACAACGACAATTGAGGTTGGCCCAAGATTATTATCCATGGAAATTTTTTTTTTTTTTTTTTTTTTTTATTAGTGTTAGAGTCTATTTATATACACCTCAATTAATCTCTCAGAACTCTAAAATTAATAGTCGGATAAATCTCTTCAGTAATCACCCTTATTAACAAACTAAATAGATCAAATTCAAAACATCTTCAATAATATATTAAAAGTTCTTTCTTTCTTTTCTTGTTAGTACTAACCTTACTTCTATTTATATCTTGAGATTTGATGAGACTTTGAGTTATGAGCTACTAAGTTTCCTGGTTAGTTAATTAATTTCAATTGAATTTTCTTGGGGATCAAGCAACAAACGAGGTCATAGGTTGAGTGATGATTTCACTGAGTATTATAGGTCTGTTTGGTTAATTATTCTGATAGTTTTTAAAATAATATTTTGAAAAAAGTTAAATTGGGCGAGTATTACGATGTAAGATTTGGAAATTAACAAAAATATCCCATTTGTTTGTTTATTTACCAAACACCTCTATAATAAAATATTAAAAGTTAACAAAAACACCCCCAACCCACCCATTAAATACGGACAGCCGACCATCACCGTCGGAGGATGGCAGGAGTGTTTTTACAATTTCTAAAAAAAATATTTGGGAGTGTATAGTTAAATTAAAAAATTTAGGAGGTTTAAAAGAAATTGAAAAATATAGAATAATATTTTGGGAATAATGACATTTTACTGTTTAACTTTTTTGAGAATACTAATAATAGTATTCCCAAAAGCGAAACAAACAAAGCCTATGGCTCCGTTTGGTTGCCAATTGGGAATACTACTTTTAGTATTCCCAAAAAAGTTAAACAGTAAAATACCCAAAAACTTTGATTTTTGGGAATACTACTCCCAATATTATTCAACTTTTTTTAAACCCTTTAAATTTGATAATTTAATTAAATACCCCTAAATATTTATTTAAAAATTACAAAAACACCCCAGTAATTCATATTTACCAGATTCCGGCCACCACTGCCGAAAAATGGCCGGAATCTGTTAAGATGGCGCACTACATGCTGAATCTGGCCGGTAGTACGCCGATCTAGCCTTTTTCGGTCAGATCCACGGTGGATCTGACCGGAAAAGGCTAGATCTAAGGCCAAAGATCTGGTCGTTGACGGCCAGATCTTTGGCCGCAACGCTTTATAACGACGGCCAACAAACGGTCGTCGTTGACGTGGATCTGATCGAAAAAGGCCAGATCTAAGGCCAAAGATCTGGTCGTTGACGATCAGATCTAAGGCCAAAGATCTGGTCGTTGACGATCAGATCTTTGGCCGCAACGGTTTATAACGACAGCCAACAAACGGTCGTCGTTGACCATCAACGACGACCGTTTGTTGGTCGTCGTTGACGAGAAAATACGGCCAGATCTGGCCATTGACGGCCAGATCTGGCCGTAGATCTGGCCTTTGTCGGCCAGATCCACCGTGGATCTGGCCGGCAAAGGCCATATCGACGCACGATCGGCAAGATCCAGCCGGTCATGCGCCAATACGGTGAACCTGGCCAACCTCCGGCGGTGGTGGCAGGCTGTCCATATTTGACATTGGGTTGGGGGTGTTTTTGTTAACTTTGAAGATTTTATTATAGGGGGTGTTTTGTAAATAAATAAATATAGGGGGTATTTTATTAATTTATAAATCCTACATCGTAATACCCGTCCAATTCAACTTTTTTTTTTACTTTTTTCAGAAAACTTTTCCCAAAAACACCCAATTGTGAACCAAACGCAGCCTATATCTTTTATAATTTGTAGTGCATTAATATAATATGCCACGGAGAATATATAATTCATATATGTAAATTCAAGTAAGGTGGCACGTTATGATTGGTCTGATTATGTAATGGGTTTCTTTAATTAAATTAACCAATACTTTTATTAAGGATAAATCGAAACCTAAAGTTGTTCTCATGCATTAATTAATAAAAAAAGTGACGCATGTGCATATGTTTGCTTAAAGGTTCACATGAAGAAGACTTTACTACGATTTTTTTTTTTTTTCATTTTTGACTTTGTCAAAGTTTTCAGAATAATATTATTGTGTGAACATTATAGTACTTGTAAGAAAGTAAACCTTTTATTACATTAATCTATAATTATATAATACTTATATATTAACAACCAATAATGTTAAAATGTACAAACAAATCGTTGTAAGATTTGTTTGTACATCTAATATTTTTAGATTACAGATGTATTAACAACTAGATAAGTTAGATTATAATTAGATTATAAAGATGAGATCTAAACTTTATAAGAATTAACTATAAAACAAAATAGAAAAAAAAAAGCCTAGCCTATGCCCTTATACCTAAGCTTTGCATTAAAAGTGCTAGAAGTTGTATTTGTCTTATATTGCTAATTTATATTCCTAATTTGATAAACTGTTGTAATATATATATATGTTGTTAGACTCCCTCTTTCTTTAAGCTAACTATTGAAAGTGAATTCTACCAAAATCTGTTTATTATAGTA